TTACAAGACTCAGTCATAAAGTTATATAGTAATTATGAATTCTCTTTTGAGATGAAAGAAACATTATTTTGTTTTAAATCTTATCAAAAATGGCCATAAATGTTGTTCAATTTTTCATTTGACCACAGATACTGTATCAGAAAACAGATCTGTCCAATGTACTTAAGATGGCTAGATTCTTTAGTTTGGCAACTCTTACCAAATTTAATAAGCCATTACATACTAAATATTACTTGCAATTTAGTTGAAATAAGGTTCTCCTTTTTGTTCTTTTTAGAATTTAATTGCTTTCTGTGTATTTGCCAGTTATAGCAATTTTAAGGGATCATCCTAATGCCCGCTGTTAAATCTCAAAGCTAAATGAACAAGGATGGGACAGCAGAACAGTGAAAACGCACACGCATGTGACTCACTGACTTCCTGCTCACAGTGGACACCTCCACAAAGAAGAGAAGATTTCTATTAGATGACGAGTAACTCAGAATCCACAAACAGAGGAGCCAATTACATGCATATCTTGCAGGAGATGGAGGAAAAACAAGTGAAGCAATGTTAGGCACTGTGGCAATTAAACCCACACAGGGACTGTTTTCTCCTGCTGGCCCACCGCTGAAACATTGAGCTTGACTGTATGTTTGATCAAACAGATCAAATATTTCTCAAATATTTTTGTAGCTGGATTTTCAACATGGAGCAAAAGAGGATGTGCTGATGAGTTCAACGCCCTGGAAGTTATTTTCCCATAGCACAGTTACAGCTAAATAGATATGCCATATTAAGCTACTTTTTACAAAATAAAAGGATTCTTTAACTTTTTGAAACTGTCAGAATTTAAGAAATATTTTTTTTTAAACATAAATTGGAAAAATGTTTTACTTAGCAGAAAACATCAGCCTAAACAGAAAGAAAGGTATATAAATAAATAAAAAAGCCAAGACTAAATGTGATGGTGTAGCATAATGCTATGAGGATAATTTACATTGTAAAGGACAGAAAATATAGTTACACTTAGAGCTATAGTAGAAGACGTTCTTTTTCCGTGTGGATATTCTAAATAAGTGGTCCTCCTATTTGCCAATCATTCTGGTGATATGTTTACGTAAGGCCGTCTTATGTACTCGTCCACATTTTCACTTACCGGTGGTGAGTCTGACATAGTGCAAAAATTGCAAATCTTCTTTTGGAAAGTAAATAATAAATAATAAATGGTAAATAAATAAATAAAACACAATTGAAGCTCCAAAAGCCTCTATACTAGAGTGAGGGTAAACCTTCTAGCACAAAATCAAATCTGAACATAAAGTCAAGAGCCACAATGGTGGTTTTAGGTTTAGGTCAAAGCAAAGCCAACTCAAAGTCTCTTCTAAATCCAACTAAATATCAATTTACTGAAACAATTATCGATGTCTCACGTATTCTGTTGTCACTATATCTATTGATGCAAATATACCATGCTTGCATGTTATACATGTCAATATTTAATCTTAACACAGTTTGCCCATTTCAAGTCACTTGAATTTATTGAGAGTGCATCAGCACCTAAACCGTTCTAGTATGACATTTAAAATTCCAAAAAGTGTGTCATCCTTTTCTTGATTTTATAGACAGATATCAAATTAGAAGCATGCAGAGTAAGTATTCCATGTTAAGCACTGTTTCTTATAATCAACAAAAGGTGGATGAATGAAGGCCTGATTAAATCTGACAAGGCTTCAAATCAGTTCAGCTTTAAAACAAATGCCCTAAGGGCTTCCACATTCATGGAATATGCTGCAACTGTGTGCCAGTTATACAAGGGCCAGCAAGTAAGCAGATGATCTCATACAGTTTCTGATATTTTGATTGGCATGAAATGAGTCATTTTGTTTCAAGCAAATACTAATATGAATTGTGTCACATTTAATGTACTGTGTTGAAATAAAAATGTACGATTCACCAAAGGTTTTTTTTATGTTTACTTCTTATTTTAAGTCAGTTACTGATGGAAAAATCAGCAATATTGTCTGTATTAAGTTATCAAAGTGCTCTTGAGTCTATCAAACACATCTGGAACCAGAAGAGTTGCACATTCCCTCAAATTTCGATCATCACAGTATTTCTTTCTGCAATATTGAAAATGACTGCTTTGACACAACAGTGATAGGCTACTAGGGTTGTCAAAAGTATCGAAACTCAAAAAAGTATCGATACTGAAATGTTGTATCCGGATACAATACTCGTTTTTAAAAGTATCGATACAGTGCCGTCACCAGTGGCACCTAAGAAGTCATTCATCTAAAGTGCAGAATAGTGGAAAATGCACTTTCAGAACACTGTGTGATTGAATAATTCTGTGCTCTTTTCAGTTTCAGACGGGTTTTTTTTGTAACAGGTGCAGCTGCTGAGAATTATTTTTGTTTCTTAACTGGTTTGGCTAGTGTCATTATGTGTGCAAAGCATAGCCAAGGAAGGAACACTTAATTTGAATTTTATAAGTTTTTTTATCAAGCTTGCTTAATATTGTGCACAGCATACAACATCAAAATATTGTTTTTATTGTTTATTGTATTTATTTATTGTATTTTGTGTATTAATGAAAATATTTCTGTAGAATTTTGGAGTCTTTGTTTTTATCATTGTGGTATCGAAAATGGTATCGAGTATCGAATATTTTCCTTAGTATCGATATCGAGTTGAAAAGTTTAGTATCGTGACAACCCTATAGGCTACTATCATTTACTGAGAGTTTAATTAATTGCATCATTTTTAGTATTGTGCATCCTTAAAAAGAATACAGTACATGCAACCATAAAATCTTTTGTTTTTAAATAAAATTACCACACAGAGTAACTTGCTTAAAAGCTAAAATGATTGCACTGTAACAAAGTCCAAACAGTAACAAAAACCAACTTGCTAACAGAGCAAAACACTAAGGCCCAGAGATTAATACAAAGAACCTTCAATATGATAAAAAAACAGAATTCAAAAAGCATTTTTTAAAAGGTAAAACCACACAGAGAGAAGTGTTATACAAGGATAAGTTAGACAATCCAGCTTTCTGTAGTGCTGCTAGATGGCTGAGAAGGGCATCTGTGTGGGCAGTTTGTGAATTCAAACAAATTCTCTCTGACTGATATAAAACAATCTTTTATATCAGTCATTTGTTTACTGGCTGGTTACAGTACTGGAAACTGGTAGTGAGATAGTTTAGTAAGGGATGTCATTGAATTATGGAGCACCAGATGTCTCTATGTTAACACTATATTTGAATCCATCCTTGCTATTGCTGTCATTGACATGGCTAAGAGCATGAGTTTTTATTTTTTTAATAGGTTTTATAGATGAATAAGTTTTACTTGCCGTTGAATCATTCTTTCAATAAACATACATTGGATTCATAAAGTTTGCCAAAGGGCAATTGTGTTGAACAAATTGGTGTGATTTCAAGGCTTTAGAACAGTCCTGCTTTTGTTGTAATTCTAAAAAAGAAATACTTGCAAAAAGGAGAAACTGTCATAAAATCTATGTAACTGCAGTCTCCTCTCCTACTCTCAAGGATCACATTTTAAAGCAGCTACCAAGTAATAAAGTGGAGTGATCAGACATTTTGAAAGTACCAACAGGGTTTTAATGTAACTTTTACTTCAAAAACTCACAGTAAAATTAAATAATTTATATATTTTATATTTATCTGGAGTTTAAGCAATGAACTTGATTTTTTTCAGAAACTTTTTACATTTCCTGCTTTGAACAATATCGTTGTACAATCTACAGTCTGAGGTTTGTTACTTGGTTTGTTTGAATCATTCTACAGCATGAAAAAAAAACAAAAAAGAAAAAAAAAACCAGCATGATTATAGCAGGGGTTTTCAACCTGTGGCTCTAGAGCCACATTTTTTCATTCTTTCTACACATATTTTTGTCCCTTTAGACTCTTACATAGTGAGCAACAATATCTGAAAAGTAGTGATTTTAGTTATAAAAGCACTTGAAAGGAGCCGATTTGGCAGTTTTTCTATATGGTTTTATAAACACCACAAGGAACTTCAAATTCAGCATTACAGTAATGCTACAACATTTTTTTTTGTTGTTTTTTTTTATGGTATTAACACCAAAACCAGATATTCCATCTCTTAAAGTGGGGTAAATGTTTTGGATAAATACAGACAGAACTTAAGAACTTGGTATTATTCTACATAAGATATCCATTTAATAGTTAAATGTTTTTTTGTGCAAGAAAAAATTTCAAATAGAAAAACAAAGCATGTGTTTTCACTGTAAAGTACACTGCATATATAGGCATGTAAATATATACAAGATGTTTTTTGGTTATACACAATTTATATTTTGTAGCTGCAAGAGACAAAGGACTTGGAATTGGTGAACCCTAAATTATATGTTAAAACCATAGAATTTACAGAAAGTGCACCTTTTTTTTGCCATACTTGGCCAATTAATAGAGGAACGTGTTCCTTGAAGATTTCTTTCAATAAGCAATATAAGCTTAAAAGTTAACAAGATAGACTAAAACAGAATTCGGTGATGAAACAATTAGAGATGCAGTGATCTTGTCTTTTCCCATCCAGTCCGACATCAATACCTGGGCTGAGCATATTGGTTGATATCTAACACCAATCTGATTCAACTATTGAATGAAGGGATTTTATATGTAGCCATGTGAAGGCTTTAGCCTTGACATGAACATTGTTCAAACAGGTAACAAATTAACAAGGATATAAATATTCTATTTGTTATTTACTAAGGAATAAGTAGCAAAAAGACAGAAATAACAGATCCAAGTTAAGTGGATTGGATTTCTGATATCCAATAACAAATCATCCACATCTGATCTAGCTAATTAATCAATATTGGAGCTGATATCCATTCCAGGTATCGGATTGGTGCATTTTAAACAAAAAATACTCTTAAATCTTTCAAAAGGGTCACTATTCTCTTTTAAATAAAAATAACACAGACCTGTTAAAACTGTCAAACTGTTCCATAATATGAGTGGGACTTACCACATTGTGGGTCTGTGTTTGTCCAACAAGGATTAGTATGTTTGAGCAGACTATAGAAAGGCAGAAGTTCAGCAGAATAATGGATCGTTCAGATCGGATATATCTAAACAAACAAACAAACAAACAAAAAACAAGTGATGTAAGCAAGTATACTTGTGCACTTTTTGATGGCATGTTTTATTAAAAGACAATAATGTTTAGTATTACAGCATTAAATATGTCGAAAGCACACAACTTTAACTTTGAGGGTTGCATTTACCTCCATAAGACAATGTAGATGACTGCCAGTGTAATCAAGGCGAGGCAAGACAAACCACAGCCAACTATCAGAGTCACAGATGGGACCCCTGAGTACTCCATAGTCTGTGGAGAAGACACATACAAACAGAGACAAGCCAGTTGGTGGGAGGCTGTCTTTGTGGTATATACAGGACAGTAAATCTTTATTATAGCCTGAAGTGGAGAAGCAATCAAAACAACCACCACCAATCTAAAAACCTATGCACAATGGGCTCCTTAATTAACTAAGAGGGTTGAGATGCATGTGGGGGCTTTGGATAAAGAGCAAAAAACTTTGCACGCTATGATAGCAAGAGATTAATTAAATTCACAATAAAATCCCACGAGTAGCACAACATTGCCAATTGAATTCTGCATACTTGCATCTCAAATTAAGGAAGGCAAAGTTAACAAATGAATGATTACACATTTATATCTATTGTATCTGCGAATGCTTGAGGCCTGCAGAAAAAAAAAGCCTGTAACATATTTTATTGTTGCAGTAGCTCACATCAAGGTCCCCATGTATTCAATATTGGTTAATTTCTCTTGAAATGACAATTTTTCTGCTTTCATTGATGTTGATGGGAAATGTTTTGCTGTGCAACATTTTTGTATTCGTCCCTAAACAAATTTGATTGATGGGAAGCAAAACGTGCCTCAAGGGCCTTAGCATGATCACACCCTTACCCACATCCATGTTCCTACAGTAGCCTATGAAAACCTGAGCAGAAACTATAAAATATCCCCACACAGTCTCCATGCACTGCTGAATTACTATTTAAGGGGATTAGCACGCCAAAGATTCAATTTTCGGTAGTCACCATTCCTCTCTCTCTTTCTCTCTCCAACACACGCACGGATGCACGCACGCACAAACACGCAGGTTTTCACCTTTACATTAGCCCATCAAACCCACACTGAATAACAAATCAATATGCTACTTACTATTCCTCTCGGTTGTTGAGCCAAAATGGCGAAGGTAGATACACGATCACACGAGCATTTTGTATGGGATGCATCTGTGAGCACCGTTTTGCATCCTTTCGCGGACCAGGCTCCCCAAGAATCGTTCCTGCGAGGAGGAGGCAAAGGCAGTTAGAAATTTCTTCTTTCAGTTCCTCTTTTTTTTCTAGCGGTGGTGGCACGACTACTTCACAGGACTCACTGGCATCTAGCTTAAGCGTTTCTAAGAAGGAGATAAAATAAAGCACAGAAGATCCGCAGAGATCGAGAGGACAAGCGAGGAAAAAAAGGAAAGAAAGGGAGAGCCGAGCAGACAAGACACGGCTCGTTGTGCGGCTCCGAGCAGCGTTTCAGCTGGAGCGGATAGAGAGAGGCAGAGATACGGGGGAGGAGGAGGGAGGAAGCGCGGAGCTGTCCAAGCAGACCGGTGCTGATTGATTCGCTATACGCGCATAAATACCAACTGGCCTTCTGATATCAAAACACTAACCCCGCATACTGCTCAAGCTGAAAACAATTACAATTACCTTAAATTTCCATTCCTATAGATATTTTTCTTTAATTCAAACGACAGTTTTCTTTTTCTCTCCCTCAATTTTCTTATCACTTCTGTTTTTTTTTCTTCCCTTGACTGTTTTAATTTGTCGCTTTTGAAAGCTTGGGGAGGAGGGGTGGTGGGGGTCACCCTGGAAACGGTGGACAGCATCCGATTGGTGGTATAATTTCGACCTTTTTAAGAGCAGGAATTTATAATTTATAAATGCTCATTAAACTCATCGCATATAAAAGTTGTCAAAATCCAGAAACAAACCACTGCAGAAGGCAGACCACCCCGCAGAGACGGAGTAAGTGGTTGCAGCCAATCACACTTTACAGCGCTTGATAGAGAAAAGAAAGGAGCTTGTTGATCTGGCGGATTTCAAGCCCTCCAGTATACACCACTACGATAAGATAAGCTTATTTTATATACAAAAAGGGTGATCTGAGTGAATGAGGTATCAGGTATATTTACTGCAGCCTGTTTATAGCTACTAACACCTGTTGTCAGGGGATACTCCAGAAAGTTTTGCAAGAGGTGGTTGGATTGGAGCCACTAACAATTTCAGGTTGGCAAACCAAATGGTTTAATTTAAGCAAAATTAACTTTAAAATTTGCATTTCAATAAACATGATTTAAGTTAAAGTGTGAAAGCAATTGCTATAGCATTTTATAGTGCAGCCTTCATGTTTGAACAGCCCCACACATAGCATTGACTTCATACACTAAAAAGTGAAACAAAGTTTTTGGTCTCCTTAAAGGGGAACGCCGTTTTTTATTTTTTTATTTTTATTTTTTTTTTATTTTCTTTAAATTGGGCCCTTGATTTGACTTATTACAACGCCAAACTGGAGTTGTCACAGGCGGCTACGCTCTACCCCTTCTATTCATTTGGCGAGCTAATCTGAATCGTTCAATTCCATTTCGAGAGCGAGATCATCTGTGGTAGTAGCACTACACATCTTCCAGGCATGTGAGTAAAACTAGCAGCAGTTCAGGGAACAGGATGAATGATCGGTAGACGGCGTGTGCGGATGACGTCATACACACTCCGCTTTGTTTAAAAAATATATAAATATAAAAAATATAACCGCAGATGTCTGGGGGACAGTGATTAGCCTACATGTTATGAATGCTCGCGTACCATAAAGAACACATTATGAACAGTTTTAGTTTGTGTCTTCAAGTCGTTGCCCATAGACTTACTTGGATATAACCTAACCAAATATCTCCAGAACAGCTCCAAATGACACAAAACTCATATGGGTGAGTAGAACATGATGTAATAACGTAAAACCAAGGGCCCAATGTAAAAAAAAAACAGCGTTCTCCTTTAACTACGATAGAGACCACCTAAGGGGGGCATCCGGGAGTGCCGGCCTAGTGGTTAAGGCATAGAGCTTGGAATCCTGAGATTCTGAGTTTGAGCCCCACTCCCACAGACTGCCACTCTGGCACTCTGAGCAAGACCCTTAAACCTACACTGCTCCCCAGGTGCCCCACGATGGCAGCCCACTGCTCTCCAAGGGATTGGGTTAAATACAGAGATACATTTCTCCACTGTGAGATCAATAAAATTTAATTATTATTCATTAATATCATTATTAATGCAACTTGGCTAAATAAAAAAGTTATAAGACTATTGCTTAACTGTTTGATGTCCTGTTTCCAGTAAAATGCTAAAAGATGAAAGTAAAGGAGCCTTATGTGTTTTATCAGAACCAAAGTGGTTGAAGTGCAGCCATGCACTTTATGGCGATGCTGATTTCATTTTCCAAGAGGACTTGATTTAATCTAACACTGTCGAAAGTACTCATAAAATATTATCACTGTGGTTAATTAAAAAACTTTATTGACTTTTACTCCAGTGATTTTGTAAAAACAATGTCAATACATTTTAGCAGAATGGGTTTTATTTACTGATGTTTTGATATCTTACTGTGCTTTTGTAAAAAAAAAACTTTTTCAGTCTTTAAAGGAGATCTTTGATCTCAAGAATTCTTACTCCAGTTAAATAAAGGTTTATGATAATAATGATGGCTGAGAATATATAATTTTTTATTAAAAAGAAAACAATATATAGAGTCAACAATGCAGCTAAGATGAAGTTGCTATTAAAGCAAGCTAGGCTTCCTTAATGCCTTCAGAGAGCTACAGAATATAATCTTTATATTCAATTTAGATCTAAACACCAAACCCAAACTGGTATTATTAGAAGGTAATGCCAGAAGTAAGTAAGACATATTTAAAGTGAAGGACAAAAGAAAAAAGGATACTGGAAAAAAGAAATTAATATAAAAAAATGTATATTCAGTATATGCATTTTTCTATAATGTTTCTAAGGACACACTAGAAATGGTTTGTATATTAAAATTTGTTCTCCAGATGCGGTGGTGGAAGATGGCCAGCAGCTTAATAGGTATGGCCATTACCCTTCTGCCCCCCACACACACGCAGCTGGTAGCAACACCGACTGTCGTCTTGTAAAACATCTGACTGTGTCTCTACTCTGCTCTGCATTCAAACCTTTTTTATAACAAAAAAGTCAAAACAAGATGCATGCGCCTGATTTACAATGACAGAGAACATACTGCATGTTGATTTGTTGGAGCAGTGCGGTGAAAGGCAATCCTGCTTTGTCATTTGATCAATATGGCAGCAGTATTTATTATTCCTGGAAGGAACCCTGGGATTGGTTGCAAATTTCAAATCCTTGCTAGGGGTTTAAAGCCATAAATGTGCACACACTTCCACCCATTACCACTATCCTTTACTAAACTGTGTGGCCGACTGATACATATTTTAACCCAGACTGGATACAAACAGCAAGCAAATACCTTTTAGTTTATATCTTCAATTTGACAGAATCGTAAAGACATTTTAGGAGGACATTTGTTTAATTAGACATTAGACTTAATGACTATAAGCAGTAAGTAAATTAAATACACTAAATTCTCTAAATGTCTTGTTTGAAATGCACTTTATTATCCATGCATAATCAAGTTAATTTATGAGGCCCATCTCTACTGACAAAGTGGAGGAATAATTTCACAGAGGAGAAATCAAGAGCTATAATCCATGAAATAAAAGCTATCAGAATTTCAAAGATTGAAGATTTAGGTGATATTAACTGTTTAAATTACCTTATCCATTGTATTACACACAGAATATAACAGAGATATAGCAATATCTGTGTCTATTTAGAAACAACAGATCTAAATATAGCTTACATGAGAAATATGGGGGGAAATGAGAAGGGCAAGGGGTTGTGTGTAAGCCATTCAAAAAGCAAAAATGTGTAAAAATAAATATAATTTTCAAATAATACAATAGATAAAATATGCATATTTGGACTCAGAAGTATTTTATTTAATAATAAAATGCTTGATCATGTTTTTCAGAGGCTTGAAATCTTAACAGTCATATGTGAATATATCTCTAGCTCTGCATGAGAGAGTGACATATTTGATACCTCTTTGTCTTTTAGATGTAAACTTATCTCCCCTGCTAAATAGTCTCCATATAAATTTTGACTTGTTAAATAATAGCTTCCCCTTTGTTCACCCCACAGGAAAAACTGACAGGAGAGTGGTTCCTGACTAGGGACCTTTCTGCAGGCGACTTTTGATGTGTTGCATGACCTTATGAGGGCTCAGTGGCCTCCAGAATATAAAATCTCCCCAAGAGACCGTGTCAGTGTTGATGTTAACCAAAGTGAAACTGATGACATGACATTCATGATATACACTTTGCTGACTGCATTTCTATGTATTTACTCAGTGATGCATATAAAGCTGTATGTCAAAACCTATTAGACTTGGAAACTGCAAAGAAACTGAGTAATTCTTAATTGTTTTTGAATTTATTAGAAGATAAGATAGCAGTAAAGAAATATTTTGATTCATTGTAACCATTAAATTGTAATTTGTTTATCTGGGTTATGTTGATATACGTAAAACCAGTGTATAACAAAAATGAGGAAGTGAAAGGAAGTGGAAACAAGAATGATGCATTGATTTCAAACATAGTTTTCTAATCAAATCTGAAGTGTAAAGCAAATTTGCTTGGTACCATCCCAATTCTATACTTTCTTGAAACAACTGCCGCAGTAATAACCACTTCAAATGGTTTGGTCTGTCCTTTCAGGTTTAAATGGATTATTTTTTCTCATTGCAAAACAGCTCAAGATTAATCAAATATGGCAATCTATAAACATCTATGTTCCAAATGTTGTTGTTGTTGAAATTTTGATGTGTCCCCCCCTATTCTAACACATTTATGTACTCTTTGATGCCTACCATTTCTTTGTAGCCCTACCGATAAGTTTTAGGGTGTCCCCTGACTTCATCCCCAGAATCATTGTTTTTCCAGTCTCTAACAGGTCTTCTTTCCACATTATCTTATAAATATCTTCATCAATCATCTCATCAATTCTTAGCAGTTCCCCTGTCCATTCTGTAGAAAAGACTCCTAACAGCCTGATACTGCCACTACCATGTATCACTGTGGGGATATGTTGGGATAAAAATTTGGATTAAGGTTAAAATTTAACAAACCTTTTACTATAGGTT